AGTGTGCTGGCGCCGCCTCTACAGGAGGTCAGTCGACGCTGCGCCGCGCCCTAGCCCGGATGAGCGGTCTGGGCAGCAAGTGTAATACACGAGGGTGCCGCTTCCTGGGGTGGAGCCCCCGATGGGAGCAGGAGTGTGCTGCGTAGTGTGTGCGGCCTCTACGCCACGAGCTTTGAGAGTTCTAGGATGTGTCACTAGATGCCGCTGCTGATGTCCAGCGCCCGCTGCGGGCCGGATAGTCTGCGCTCTCAGTGCCTTCCTGCGGCAGCGTTGTCCGGCCGTGTTTAACGCGCTCGTGAGACGTCTCGTCCGCCTATTGTAACTGGTGGTGCGCGCGGCAGGGCTCGTTCTTCATCAGCGTGCTGGTGGACGAGGACGAGTACCAGTCATGCCGGCTGCAGCTCGGCGAGCACGAGTGGCCGTACCAGCGGCCGCTGCCCGCCTTCCACGGCGTCGTGCCGCCGGACGGCGCCGCCACCGTCGCCATCTTCGTCAAGCAGCAGGTGGGTGCGTCGGGCCGCCGCGGCGGACGCGGCTGCTCCGTGGGGCGGTGCGATGCCGGGGGCGGTCTGTGTCGTGGCGTGTTGCCGGCAGGCTGTGGCTCTGTGTGTCGCTGCACACCGCTGACAGGCGTCTAAAGGCGCCGTCTCTCGCTGCGGGCAGCGTAGTGCCGCGCGTGTCATCTCGCTGCCGACAGCCGCTCTGTGTGTGTGGTCCCACGGCGCCGGCAGCCGCTCCGCACCCCTCTCTCCGTACTGACGCCGCCGCTCCCTCCGTCGCAGACGGCGCTGCTGTCGGTGCGCTCGGCGCGCCGCGATGGCGTGCGCTGCCTCAGCGTGCGACCGTCGCTGGTGGCCGTGAACGAGACGGGCCGCCGGCTGCCGCTGGCGGCGCTGGCCGCCGACGGGCCGGTGGCCGACGCCCGCCTGCCGGAGGTGCTGGGGCCGCAGCTGGCGGCCGAGGCGCGGCCGCAGCCGCTGCTCTGGTGGCAGCTGGCGGCCGGCATTCCGCCGGACCCGGCGGCGCCGCCGCAGCAGCTGCGCCTGCTGCTCGACCTGTCCGGCTGCCGGCAGCCGCCGCTGGCGCTGACCGCCGCCAGAGGCAGCGCCGTGGTGCACGGCCCCAGCCGCCAGCCGCGCTGCCTCAACAGGTCAGGCTCTGGTCCCCGCGCTGTCACGGCGGCCCGCCAGGCCGCCGCGACACGTCCGCGTGCCCGCGCTGAGTGGGCTGTCGCCGGGGCTTCACACGGTCGTGCTGACGGCCTGGCGCGTGGTGCACCGCGCTGAGGATTAGCTGACAACGGGCGTCGGCGATCAGCTGCGCGGCAGTCGCCGTCATTGTGCGATGCTAGTGTAGCTGCGCTCGGGCAAGCATTGATGACAGCACGCTGCTGTTTTGCGTTTCTCACAACGCGTTTGATGCGCCTGTGATGACTGTACGATGCAGTCACGTGTGCCTCGTCACTTGGTACCGCACTGACGTCATTAGCAGTAACTGTTATGCCCTCTGCCACGAATACGTTGCGAGGCGACACAGACTGAGGCGCAGGACTTGTTCCGGGTCGGGGCGTTCACGCGCGTGCGTGTCCACCGCAGCCTGTTGCGCGTCTCCCACACGGAGAGCGGAGGCCAGACGTTCCTGGCCATTCGGGAGGAGGAGGCGCCGTTCCTGCTGGTGAAAAACGACACCGAGCTGCTGGTGGTGGTGCGCTGGCCCGGCACCGGTGAGTGGTGACGTCACCGGCGTCAGTGGTGACGTCACCGGCCGCGGCGCCGGTGACGTCACGGGTCACGGCGTCGCCCGCACGGAATACCGCGAACCGCCGGCCGGGACATCGCTAGACACGGACGAGTCTGCGGGGCGACGCTAGCCAAGGAGAGAGGCCTATCGTTTTTGTGCGTGTTAGTGTGTGCTGTCTTGTGTTAAGCTTTTGACTGCCTGACGAGCCGTTGGCGCTGAATAATAAGCAGTTGTAGCGCCTTAAAACCCGAACTGTTATCATTGTCCCAATGAGTCGTGCAGCCACCTGTCCGTGGCGTCAGTTAAAGCTGGTGTGTTACCGCTGTATGCGCTGGAGACGGGCGTCTATGCAGACTGGACCCTTGACGTAACCGGTGTGGGCTTCAGCGGAGGCGGTGGACCTGTTCGTCACGGCCGGCCGGCCCGGCGAGGTGCCGCCCGGCAAGAGCTGCTACTTCCCGGCGGCCGCGGCCGCTGCCGGCGCCGCCGCCAGCCAGTGCCGGCTGCAGGTGGCGGTCGAGCGCGGCCCCGGCGGCGGGCAGGCACAGCAGCCGGCCGACGGCAGCCGCCGCCCTGGACAACCTGGCCGGTAGGACCGCCGGCCTAGCGCCGTCGTCGCCTCGCAGAACTGTGAAGCGGCTCACGCTCTACGCTCGATGTTCTCGTAATGCATTGCTACCAGATCGTTAACAGTGCGACGGAAAGTCGTCGATTTTTGATCGGATTCGCACTGCGCGGCGTGGCTATTGCATGCTAAGAGCAGGCTTGGTGCGTATGACGGTGACTGCCGGTGTCAGTGACCGGCGGTGCTGGCGGCGTTCCAGCGGACCGGGCCGCCGTCGACCTGACCTACGGCCACACCCAGTTCCTGCATGTGTCCGGCCACGACCTGACGGCGCACGTGGAGCTACGCGGCCACACGTACCACGTGCAGCTGCGCCCGGTCAGCCGACTCGAGGTGTCGGCGTGGGACGTGCGCGCACGGCTGTCGCGCTCGCTGGGCGCTCCGGCTGCCGAGCGGCCGGCGCCGGCGGCCGCGGCCCGCCCGCTGCCACCGCCACCGCCGGCCGAGGAGACGCCGGCGCCGGCCGCCGCCGCCGCCGCTGCCGCCGCTGCCAGCACCGCCCTCCAGTTGACGGCCGTCTGTGACCAGCTGAGCGTGGTGCTGCTGGACGACCTGACGGACGTCTCCTGCAGTCAGGAGGTGCTGCGGCTGACGGCCGACCGCGCCGCGCTGCTGCTGGCGCCGGCCGCCGAGCCGCCGCGGCCGCGCGGCTTCTCGCGGCTCTCGGTGTGCGTCGGCGACCTGCAGCTGGACAGTCAGCTGCTGCCGTCGGCCGGCCAGCAGTACCAGGTGCTGCTGATGGCGCAGGAGTGTGCCGAGCCGCCGGCCGCCGGCCAGCTCTCCACGCTGCCGCCGCTGGCGCTCAGCGCCGCCGTCAACGCGCTGCGTCGCTCGGCGCTGCTGCTGGCCGAGGCCGGGCTGGAAGCCGACGCCGACGGCCGGCGCCGGCTGCGTTCGCTCCGTCTGCTCGCGCGCCCGCTGCGCCTCTTCGTCGAGGACCGCTGTCACGCCGCCTACGTGGCGTACCTGCGCGACCTGGCGGCGGCGACGGCAGGGCCGGCCAGTGCCGCCGCCACGGCCTCCACCGCCGGCGGCGGGCCACCGGCGGCGGTGCGTGCCGAGCTGGCGGCGCTCGCCAGCCAGGTGCTGGTGGACTCGCTGTGCGTGGAGCCGCTCTCGCTGCGCCTGAGCGTGCGCACCCAGCTGCAGCTGTATCTCTCGATCGACGAGTCGCCGCTGCAGCTGCCGGCGTTCGAGCGGTCCGGCGTCCGCACCAGCCTGGAGGCGCTGCTCGACGACGTGGTCCGGCACTACATGTGGTCGGCCATCTACAAGGCCGGTCAGTGGCGGCGGGGGCTTATGTTCACCCCGGAGCTGGCGGGCAGGCGGAGTATGCCCGTGGGTGCTCGGTGGTCGCGCGTGATTAATGTAAGCACGACGGCAGGTCGGGAGACGCGGACGGAGTGCACGCAACGGAATGGTATTGCATTACATCGTCGCCATTGAACAAATGGATTTGCAGTGCAGTGCTGTCTTGTCGAGTGTCCTGAGGCACTCTGCCTTTAAGTTTTGCCTGTCTGTACTAGAGCGTTCATCTCACAAGTCCTGCTGTGCTTGTGCTCTTCTGGGAGACCCTGTGTCAGTACCCCCCCCCCCCCCCTTACTACCGGCGTGTCGGCAGGTGGCGTGTTGTCCGCCCCTCGGCCGTCCCTTGAGCAATGCCCCGACCTGACAGCGCTGCAGCGTCCGTCCCTCGCTCATCCCCCGGGATCGCCCTGACCGCACCTGACCTCCGCCAGGTGGCGTGGTGGCGTCACTGGACCTCCTGGGCGACCCGGCCGGCCTAGCGCGCTCCATGAGCTCCGGCGTGCGTGACCTGGTGCAGCTGCCATACCGGGGCCTGCTGTCGGGCCCCGGCGGCCTGTTCACCGGCTGCGGCCGCGGCCTGGCCAGCCTGGCGCGACACCTGGCGGCCGGCGCCGTCAGCTCCGTCAGCGGCCTGGCCGCCGCGCTGGCGCGCAATCTGCACCAGCTGTCCCTCGACGCCGACCACGTGGCGCGCACGGAGCTCCAGCGGAGCGCGGCGCCGCTGGGGCTGACGCACGGCCTGGCGCAGGGCCTGACCGGCCTGGGGCTGGCGCTGCTGGGCGCCGTGGCCGGCATCGCCGACCAACCGCTGCAGGGCGCGCTGGCCGGCCGCTCGGCCTCGGCGCTGGTCGGCGGGCTCGGCCGCGGTCTGGTCGGCGCGCTCACCAAGCCGCTGGGCGGAGCGGCCGACCTGCTGGCGCACACCGGCCAGGGTCTGCTGCACAGCGTCGGCTGGCGTCGGCGGCCGCAGGTAGTGGCTGCGGGACGGGGTGTCACGTGCTTTGTCTTCGCCGACATCTCCTGTTGTCAGTATTTCTATCGTGCAGAGTATGCCCCGGAACAGTGTGACGTTTGCCTTGTTGCAGTTAATGTGGGCCCAGTGGAGCCACGCTTGCGAGGGGCTTGTGTGCGAGCGACAGTGACCCATCGTGGCGTCGACCGCTGACCTCGCTGGCCGCGCGCCTGACTTGTCCCGCATACTGCGGCTGCGCCCCGTCGGACGCGTGTCTGCGACTCACCAGACAGTGGTGCCGTGATCCCAGAGTCCAGAGCCCTCTGTGTTCGTGCGTGTGCACTGACAGTACGCCGCGGGGCCGCCAGAGGCGCCAGCCCGAGCGTCGCTGGCCGGTGAGCCAGTGTCCGGCGGCGGCGCTCTGGCACGCGGTGCACCTGCTGCCGGAGTGTGCCGTGCTGGTCGTCACCGATGCCACCCAGCTGACGGACGGCGGCGCCTTCCGGGCCGTCACAGTCGTGCTCACCTCGCAGGTCAGCATCGCTCGCGGCGCCGCGGGATTGGGCGCACAAGCTGGACTTGCCCGGGGCGCAGGACACTGCCGTGACTCCATCTCCCGCACACTGCCCTAAAAGGAGTGACTCACATTGATACGTGTTTTGAACTGAAAAATCCATCTTGAAGACCTTTCTGTGCTGTTCACAATCCTACCCTTCTTGAGACATACGCCCGTCTAGTTTCTGAGCTACACGCCCGCGAAAAATGGGGGAAGGTATATCGGGGAGAGCATTTCAAAGTCACCTTGGCATTTATGGCGTCATAATGACGGCATTCATATTCTGCCTTTCCATGAGCCATGCGGCGGTCAAGGCTTAGGAAAATATAGTTGTTGAGACGTTTATCCTGGCGTTCGCGAGCGCGATTCCCAGATATAACGGCCGTCAATGGGCTCTCAATAAATGTTGCGCAAGGTACGATGACGTAATCAAACCATGTCGCGTTGAGGAATATTTTACTTGTTGCATTATATCTGATATTTTCTTCAATGTCTCCAAATGTGAAGCATTCCCTTTAGTTCATAGTCGGCCGCGCTAACGATTCGGTACTGTGAGGCGCGCGCGGACAACTGAAGCCGTGCAGCGTGCGCCGGCCGCCGGCGCGTGCGCAGACGCGGCCGGGCGGCGACTGACGGACGCGTGCGGCCGGCAGGACCTGCGGCTGCTGGCCGACGCCGAGCTGGAGTCGGCCGCCAGCTGGAGCGCCGTGTTCCGGCTGACCGAGACGGAGCTGTGCGGCTCGCAGGCGGACCCCACCGAGGTGGCGGTGTGTCGGCGGTCCGGCCCGCTCGGCTCGCCTCTGCCCTCCTCCGCCCTCTCAGACTCGGTACGGCACTAGTTCGGGGCGGCGCTCGCGGTGTGCCTGCTGGCGACTGGAGGTGCCTGTTGGTCTCGTTATAATTACTTTTATAAACGTTTGTAGTCGTGATAATGTATTTTTAACAGTTCACACCCGATGGGTATAACAAATGCACGTATACAAGTGACAAAATAATTTTATGATATTGTCGCGAGACTGCTCCACTTCGACGTGTTTTTGTCTTTATTTGTGAGCTTGTCAACGAATGACATACTGAGTTGTGTATGTAGCCTGCTAACTGCAGCTCAAAATTCAGTCATATCCGAACCCGATCAACATCCGTAGGATCATATTATTCTGAAACCGCCAGGCATTCGTCGAATTGTCAAGTCGAGCCCCTGGCCGTAGCCCCATCGCCCACGTACCACACGCCGCGTCCGTCGACAGCTGGCTCACGGCTGCCTTACGCCTCGCGTGCTCACGCGGCCACGTGTGTCCGGCCGGCAGGCGGACACGTACGTGGCGGAGTACGTGCGCGGAGCGGCGCAGCTGGGCGCCGAGCCGGGCCGGCCGGCGTCGGCGGCGGGCGGCGGCGCGCTGCTCACCCTGCTGCTGAGCCCCGAGCGGCGGCCGCTGCTGCTGTCCGCCTTCCGCAGCGCCCAGGACCGCCAGCTGGGCCGCGGCTTCACGCTCGAGGAGAGGTGACCTGGTAACCGGTGACAGGTGACCGCCAGCTCGGCCGGCCCGGGACCGATGACCTGGTGACCGGTGACTTGTGTCGGCCAGCTGTGCCTGCCTGGAACCGGTGACCTGGTGACCGGCGACCTGGTGACCAATGACCCGGTGACCTGGTGATCCGGTGACCGCCAGCTGAGCCGGCCCGAGACCGGTGACCTGGTGACCGGCGACCTGGTGACCGATAACCCGGTGACCTGGTGACCGGTGATACGGTGGCCGCCAGCTGAGCCGGCCCGAGACTGGCCGCCGGCTCTCAGCTGTCGTGCGGAACAGCTCCGGAGCGCGGTGGCTACATTCCGTCCTTGCGCGCGAGAGGTGGCGCGGCGGGACGGTGCGCCAGCCCGTCCGCCAGGGCGCGCCTGATAGCGCTGCCGACTGTGGTTACGGTTACGTTGCGCGGTTACGCGGTTACGCGGTGTGATCAGCGTGCGTGTGTCCGGCATGATGACGAAGCGCATTACAGGCCAGTGGCTGTCGTGGAGGACTGATCTCCAGCGCAGCCGGCCACGTTCTGACCGAGCGCGTCCACGGCCAGGTCACAGGTTTGTGATGCAACACTGTGATGACATTATCTCGTGTGCGCTTTGATGGTGCAGGGCTTTTGCAGATACGGGCATTGTTTGTTGTTGTCAATGGGGCCAATAACAGGTGTTCTAACGAACTTGTTTCCGTGGTTACTTTTAACGCGTGTGTATGCTGTCGTTACGAATTATATGCCGCAATATCGTTTTGTTTCCCCGTGGTGTAGACAACTCGGAGCGAAATCCTGAGAGGATTGACTGCTGCGACGAGAGCTCTAGTTGAGGCCGCTTAGGATGAAAGCTATATTGTTTGGCACAGACACGGACGACACACCGAAAACATTGAACGCATCGCAGAGATGGAGAATTCTAGAAACGTTAAACATGTACAGTGCGTAGTTGGGAGACGCTAGTTGGCTGCCCGCTACCGTCTTTGAGATGAAGTAAACTGCAACTATTTACAGGATTAAACATCCAGCATAACCACATACAACAACGGAAAACACAGCATGCACCAAACTCTCATGGCTAAATATGACGGTTGATCCAATAGTAAAACTGGGTAAGCACAGACTTTTAGTTGCCAACGTTCTTGACTATTGCTTGCGATGAAAATACCACTTCTATCCACACACAATGTCCTCGAGGGGTTCTAAGAACCCTTTGGTTACTTGGCTAAAAGTCTTCGACACCTCAGCGGCCGACACTGGGGCCTGACTCCCCGGCGGAAGTCGCGCGCGTCACGGGCGCGGCGGGCCCGCGTAATATCAGACGCGGCGTGCTTGTGGCCCACCGCACCAGCCGCGGGCCGCCGCCCCGCCTCGGTCGTCCGCCGCGCGTCCTCGCCGCAGCCGGGTCCGCGCGGCTTATCACAGATCCGGCCTCTGGGGCGCCCGTCCTGCGCGACAGAGTGTCTCCTCCGGCCGGCGCCGGGCTCCGCCACCTGCCGGACGCCTCGCCGCCGGCCTCGTGCCGCGGCCGTCCCGTCGGGCGGCACTCCTCGCCGGAGGCCGCCCGCGCCCGCCGCGCGCCCGCCCGGGCCGGCGCACCTCAGGGGGCGGCCGGCGCCCGCGCCGTGCTGTTGCCGGCCGCAGGGCTGGTCTTGCGGCGGCGCGAGCCGGTGCCGGCCGCCGATCCACCCTTGCGGCGGCGGCCGCCGTTGGGCCGGCGCCGGCGCTTCTGGCGGTTGCGCAGCCGCCGGCGGCCGCGCGGCCCGCCGCGTCGCTGGCCGCCGGACCGCTGCCCTCCAGGTCGCTTGCCACCGGGCCGCTGGGCACCGGGCCGCTGGCCGCCGGGCCGCTGGCCGCCAGGTCGCTGACCACCGGGCCGCTGGCCGCCGGGCCGCTGGCCGCCGGGCCGGCCGCGGCGCCGCTGGCCGCGCCGGCGCCCGGAGGCGGCTGGCGGCAGCATGGCCGCCTGGACGGCACGCGTGTCGGAGCAGTCGAGCCGCTGCAGGAGTCGACGCACCTGGCGAGAGATCTGCCGCCCACACCGGCCCCGTCAGAGGGCGGCGGCGACGCGCGGCAAACAGCCGGCGCACAGCCCGCGAGCACTAACCAGGCCACGGAACCAGATCGGGCACGACGGTTAGACTCCTTGCAAGCTGGGATACGCGAGTGATATGATCGGCTCGATCAGACACCGAAGTGAAGAGCGAGATCGACACAAGATTGATATGAACGAGAACAGACGCAGGAGTCATTACATGGGCGGGTTCGGACAGAGGAGTGAAATCATTAGAACGCTCTTCTGTTGAAACTCACAGGCCAAGCCAGTGGACAAGCTACGGCATCGGATCAGAATCAGTGGACGAGGTCTTTTTTCACACGGTCATACAGATAGGGATCGGGGGTCTGCGAGCGTTCCAGTACATGTCCAAACGTTTTCAACCACGCTATCATTCCAGCAGGTGACCTTAGTCCGGTGGCCGACTTTTAAACCTTTTTTTAGATTAAGAGAAATAAATCGTTTCATTTACAGGCCCGACAGATCTTATTCAACGGCGTAGCGAAACTGCTGATCGGTATCCAGCCTTGCAAAACCAGCACCTGGTCTGGATTTTCAATAGGCAAAAGTGAAATCCCTGGACAAATCAGTTAAAACAAAAGAAGTGATAGAAAGACAACGTCCCACAGTCCAGCTCGAGCACCGCAACACGTCTGATGAACCGACCAGCGCCGACCGCCGGTTTATCAGACGTATCAGTTTTCGAGCGCGCGTCATACGAATCTCATGCGCGTGCATGCTTTCACTCCGCCGTAGCCCACAGCTCGAACGCACCTTTCGTCCGCGACCACCGCACGCAACGCGACCCCTCGCAACTAACCTTCAACTTTTTCCATGGCATGATGAAGGTAGGTACCAGTTGGTCGCCCTGGCGGCGCGCCATCACCAGGTACTTGATGCCCTTCTGCTGCAGCTGCGGGCAGCAGTCGGGGTCGTGCGCCCACTGGAAGGTGGGCCGGCGCAGCGCGCGCCGCTCGGCGCGGCTGGGCGTCTGTGGCTTGAAGATGCGCGCTCTGCTGGCGATCAGTCGGTCGGCGCGTACCCGCCGGATCTTGGTGCGCACGGCTGCCGGCGGCGCTGCGGTTAGAGCGGCGCTGGCCGGGCCGCCACCCGGCCTGACGGTCACCTCACAGCGCGTCAACCGCCGCCGGACCCGACAGGGAGTGGCGAAGATCAAAGGCGCGCGCACCGGGTGCCTCCGGATTTGCAAGCTTAGCGAAATTGTCGCGACCAAGTCACCCAGTCGGCGCATATGACTAAACTCGTTAAACCGGCACCCTCGGTCTCAGCGCGATATCTTACCTACGTCGGACCGGCAGAAGTGATCGAGCATGTTCTCCTTTGTTTCCGGCTGGCTGCAAGCGTTGCAAGCCTCTGACGGCGGCTCCTCTGTAACGACAGCGGTCGAGCGGGTGAGCGCCGGCCCGGACGGCCGCCGGGTGGCGTCGCGGCTGACGGGGCGAACCCGGCGCGGTTACGGGAGCCGTCCGCCTCGTCCGCCCCCACCGGCGGCTCGGCTTCTGCCGTCACGTCCTGTCGCGCCGAGATGCACAGACCACAGGTGGCGCCGCCCGGCTGTCGCGCGCGGCAGGGCGCCGCCGCCACGGCCCTGCCGCCGGCGGCCCGCGTGGGACGGCTCTCTCGGGGCCTGACATCAGCCGGTGGGTGCACGCCGTGAGACCTCGCATGGCGGCGCCTTTGATCACGTGCCGGCCAGCGGCGGCAGGCACGATGGTCCGTTCACTGGGCCCTGGAGCGCCTTTCGCGGCTATCAGTCGGCCGAGCTGCTCTGATCAGGTCACGGTCTGCAGACAGCCTGCCGCAAGCGGCGAGCGGGCTATTCGGCGCCACATGCCCCCCGCCCCTGCCCTCCCCTCCCTCCTCCTCAGCTGTCATCTCGGGCCGGCGCTGACGGCAGTCCTTCGCGGCCGATCTAACGGCGCCGACAATAATCTCCTGTCAGGGTCTGCAGCTATTCCCATCGGCCGGCTGGCACTCAGCCGATTGGCCGGCGCCCGTCCGCCACCCTGGAGGTCCCTCGCTTCTTCCTCAGCGGCCGGCTCCTTGATCATCCCTGGCCTTATCCCTCGCGGCTCTGTAGCCTGTCACAACGCCTCCCAGTCGCGCCTGACACCCCGAAACCCTCACCTCTCGCTCGATACCCCGACCACTTCATCTGACGCCCCGACACGCCGGCCATCCCTCGGCACCTCCCCTCGCCCTGGCCGTGTCTGACACCCTGCCCAGCACCCTGAGCCTCCCCAGGGTCCGGCCGGGCCGGCGGCCGACTGCCGCGGCACCGCTCCCGACCGGCCGCCTGGGACAGCCCGTCACACCGCGCCACATGCTAATGCCCGCCGCCTTTGCAAGGTCCGCCGCCGCCGCCGCCGCCTGTCTGCATAGATAGGCGGCCGCGATTCGACCCGCGTCGTGCTGGAATAATACCTCTCCTCGGGTCATGGCACAGGCAATGGCAGACGCAGCCGGTAAATTTATTAGGCAATTCCAGCACGGCGGCGTGCAGCGATGGCCGGTAATCAATATAGGCGCCGGGTATTTATATATGGGGCGGCGAGCTTGCAACAAACAGCCGGCGGTGTCGTCTGAAGCCCGGCCCCGCTCGGGGGCCATTCGACCGCTTCAAACGAGCCGACCGCGCCTCTGGCCGCCGATCGCCAGCCGATGCCAATTCGGCGGAATGTAAATGTTGACACCAGAGAGACTGTAGGTGTGCTTTGTCCGGGGCTGGGCAGCGGGTGTCGGCGCGGCCGCCGCGCATCCTGTCCGAGCCCACTTGAAGGGAGCCGCCGCGGCGCGGCCGCATACCGCGCCGGCGTGACACCCCGTCACGTGACACCACGTCACGTGCGAGTGTCGCCTTTCCGGACCGGCCGGCAACGTGATCTCATCGGCCGATAGGGCGGCCCGAGGCGGCTGCTGCACGGCCGGCGCCGACCGCTGGCCAGAAGCGCCGAATCGCAGCCGGCCAGAACGGCTCCCAGGGGTCCGACGCCGGCGCCGCCAGAGGTACGCAGCGGATGTGCGGACCCGCCGCGAGATCCTGTCCCGACGCCGCGCCCCGGCCGGCTCCCCTCGGCGGCTTCTGGCGCTCCGGCTCGGCGCACAGTGACCCTGCTCTCAGAAACTTTTGATACTGGTCGTTACGGCTTGCACCCATCCCGGAAGTGTGCTGCTGATTGTAGGAAGCTGTTACCGCTTAAGGGGTCCTTTGCACGTGCACGGTCTCGGCCCGTTACGCTTCGCCTGGTCCCGTGTCGCTTCGCGTGAAAAATCACAGCCAATAGACCTGCCAGTGCCGGAACGCGAGATCTTGTATAGACTGTGTCCCATAAATGTGTTATCAAAATAAACCGCACATAAACCGAAAAGGAAAACTAATGATTCGCGTTGAAGTAGGGTTGCATCATGTGCAACGTCTCTTATAATGACCGTTGCGCACGAGAGACCTCAGCACATCCTCCCACATACAACTCAAATGACCAGCACGCAGCCAGCGTATTTGGCTTTCTCAAGGTGTTACTGTCGGCTTCGTAGCGCAATGTGACGGGACACAGCGCGAGGCAAGCATGACTCACGTTCGTTACTTGATTTATCACGGGAGTGCATGACAAAGCGCCTAGCAAGGCATGCCTGCCTCAATCCGCCCACCTTATATAGTCACGACTCCTGGTGTCCCTGCGCCAGCGCTTTGGAATGTTTATTCACGAATGAATGTCCAGGGGCATGCGTCACGCTTGTGAGAACGCGATGATTTTATCCTCACGAAAATCAGCTGTAGATATTCACGAGTCCTTTCCTGCTAGCAAACGCGTGGTGTCCAGTTCCGTGCTTTGGGTTAGTCTGCGGGGCCGAAACTAACGTATCACGTTCAAAGGTGACGCCGACAATGAATGCTAGTGAGGCGAACACCGTTCATTCCATTGGCCGGCGATAGCCTGCAGTTAAAAGTTGCTCCCACTCCCACTCCGATTTTCGTGAATAACTTCCGAACCACGCAAGGCAGTCCCATCAAATTTTTAGCGCCTGCCTGGTGATCGATTTGACATATTCTGGAGGATTTTTCCTACATCAGGTCAGGTCACTGGGTTATGGCGACGTCAGTGTGAGCTTGGACGACGGTTTTCGGCTCTACATGCGGTAGCTCTCAGTTTTATTTCTTGCTTGGGGCTGCCTTGATGTCATCCTTTCAGTGGTGTGACCGTCTGGGGAGTGAGAAGTGCGTGTATGTGTAACATCATGTGATGTGTGACATCACGCATATCGCTACACAATCATGTCATTGGTTTGGAAGGCGCCGATGCAACTAATGACCTCGTCTGCCGTGTGGACTGGAAGAGCAGCATTATCACCAAAACGGGTGACCTGACTTTGATCCTCGTTCTTAGTAAACACGTTAGTGCGATTCTGCAAGGAAAGAACATCTGCTGTTCTTGCACTCTTTTGCTTAGGACCAGCGAAGGTCTACACGACCATTGTTAGGTGCGCTGGGGCTTTGCAATTGCTCCAGTCTCACACTTCGGGCATTTCGCGCCACACCCGGCGCCAATTACGTAACAGATATAAGCTCGACGATTGCTCGATAGCATTGTCTTTAGGGCTGACATGATGCCGATCACCCAATGAGTTTTTCCGATCAGACGGTTACATTTTGATACCAGGTTAACAATCATCATGGCTACTTCTGAAATCTAGAAATCCCACCTGAAGCTGGGGAAACTGTGCTGGCTAACAGGTAAAGCGTCAAGCTGATATCACTCCTTAACGTGACGCAAATTTCGAAAGAAATGTAGCGTTGGGCCGTCATTTTAGGCATGCAAACTACATAGCTCAAACTTTTAGGATCTAGCATTTCATTTTCATCAAATACGTGCGCTAGGGTTTATGCGCAGGTCATGAGTGGTCTTGTTCTGCGATCATTCTTATTCGCAGCTCAAATAATCCGCAATTAACTTCACGTGCCCATCCATGACAGTGACGCTCTGATTACTGTTTAAAGTCATGCTTACGTTCTGAATAAGACGGTTACAAGTACGGTTGTGCCACTTCGGGCGCTGCAGTCTCCAGATATATCACGCAACACCATCCAACCAGGAACCCCAGTCGTAACGTTGATTTAAACTCTGGAGCTTCAAGTTGATCCCTTCTTCAGCGAGCATACGGCACAGCTACTTCCAGAGTTCAGCACAGGACTTTATGACCTCCTTTAGTTCACCCCGCAGCTCAAGTATCTTAGACTTGATCCTTTAACCGCTTTTCGGCCCTTTCTTGATATAATAACTTTCTTAATTTTCAAGACAACGATCGATCTGCTGCCAATCAACTTTGAAGAAAACAGGACATGACGTTGAATGACGTCAATGGGAAATGCCCTCAGCTAAAAAAAAAAAAATCAGCGCGAGCCCGGGTCTAATGCTATCTTTCATTTTTCTTCACAAATCTAAAAGAATGCACAAATACGAGAGGTTATGCATAAAAGGATTAATATCCGACTGCTTACTGTCCATGTCAGCTGAGGCTCCTGGTGACGACAGAGAGTTTTTTCTCGCAAATAATCAGAGCACCTTAGATCAAAATCGTGGTGCTCGAAGCGTCACTTTGCCGTCAGTGTGCCCGGTGTCCGGTGCAGTCTGTGCGGCAGTACGTGGGCCGCCGGATGCTGTCTGACCACATGCTGCTCCAGACACCTAGCCTTAGGGCTCCCCTGCGCGCTTGTGTTTGTGTACCCACATTTGTGGTCGCCCAGAACCTTATCCGAAGGCCTGTGTTCCCCCTCCACGGAGATCGACATGTCCCTGTTCCCGATTCCATTGGCATCCCTCCATCGAGACATTTCGGCGGTCTCTGCTTGACGCTTGTGACACCCTGCACCTGGGATTGGATGCTTGCGTCTGCCGATAGCACACGCGGGCCACGTCATAGAAGACTCGGCTTATACCTATGTGTGGGCTTGGGAACAGCTGGCAGTCCCGGGTTGGACTTGAGTGCGCTCTTCCGCCAAATCTTGGGGCGTCAATCTACTCGGGCTCAGGGTATATTTCTAGACTCTTATGCATGGGTTTCAAGTATCCCTCTAATAGTGTGCTTCAGGCGCGTCTCCACCTACAATTGAGACGCTCTTGGCCTGTGTATGGGGTCTAACCGTAGCTGCAATTAACTGTCTTTTATCTGTATTTTGGACACCTTCCACATCGCACTGGCGCTTCTCCACGCGATATCAAGGGTGCCGTTTCACCGGGCTCAGTAGCGCCTCGCTACTAGTCCTCGTTAAATCTTAATTCTCTACAGACATCCTGAAACATGGGCGCCCACATGGGCTGAAAGAACGCCATAATTTACGGGTACTGCGGAGAAATCGGGCCCTTTGGATCCACTACTGATAACGGCCCGTCGTTACACGCCTTTGTCTCTTCTCGGACGTTCCGCGCCATTTCAGACGGATGTTCCGCGCCATTCCAGAGGGTCATGTTGGGCTGGTCCGTCACCTGGCCGACCAAGCGCGCCACGCTTGACAAACGCGCACACGCACGCTCATATACGCAGACAGACTCACAGTACATCGCGCCACAGGTACTTACATAGAATGCAACGACCTGGAAGTACAACAACGAACTGGGAAGGACGATGCTAAAAACGTAAAAGCGTAGTCATACATCCAACGACATTTTTGTCAGAAAACCTGAGCACATTCCCGCATACAGGGCGTATGTCCAGCACTGCCGACTTTCGCCGACCAGCCGCCATCCAGGCACACAGTGATCCCCACCGGGTGAACCGCGTGCCACCACCAATGTACCTCTACAGCTGCAGACCATGCCTGACGAGCGGACTACCTCGACCTCCTGCAGGCGAACAGGCCAACACTGGAACGACAGCAGCCGGCGCGACCGAGAGCGGTCGCCAGCGCTACGCTACTACACAGGGCTAGCTACACAGGCCGACAACCAGACGAGAGTGAAGAGAAGAGCCCGCCGTGCGGAGCCGGCACCACAGGATGACGGGGCGCCGAGCCCCGCCGACAGCATGCCCCATGCCCGCCGCCGTCTCGCCGCCCCGCGCCTCATGCCGCGCGGCCGGGGCGCGCGGCGCGCACCACTTACGGATCACCAGCGGCCCTCCGTTGTCCTCCCACCGGTTCACCTTCTCTGCAATACAGGGAAGAGGCTGCCGGTTACGGGGGTGGCCGCCGGCGTGAGGGGCCGTGCCGAGCGGACAGCACGGCCCGGCCGGCTGCCCGGGACCGGCAGCCGCTCGTCGGCTCGCTACTGGCCTCCTACGTCTACCTCTGCGCCACGGTGTGGTGTGCTGTTGGCAAGGTCGTCTGCGCTGCGTTGGGGCGGTCGACCGCCCTCCGCCTGCTACTGACTGCTAAGACTAGTAACCCCGAGGCGAGCACCCGTCTTCGCTTCTCTACAGCACGACGCCCCACGGAAATACTTCACTGGGGTAAACAGCCAAATGCCGTGCAACATCCGGGACCGCTCCGCAAAGCTGATCTGCATGCGAGGCTGCAACACCGTCTTCCGCCCGCCACAGCGCAGAGTGTTCTCAGGGAAGGCTGTTTTTCAGGCCAACTAAGTAGCCGGTGGCGGATCGCATTGCACGCTGCATGTTCCAGTTGTCGCCCTTGCAGGCCGGTCAGTTGCTGAGCCCCCAGCCGTGCTGACCTCCAGCACACGCCTGCGGTGGCGTACGTCTCCGCGTCCACGTGTGCTATATCGCGCGTCTGGCGTATACACCGGAAGTTGCCAGACCTTGACACAGTCACATGTTTGGGGAGTGCCGTTTGATCTTTGCCGACTGCTCAAGAAAACTGAGAACAGCTTGGAGCACGTTACATTATTTTTTAATCATTCACCGCAAAAAGGCAGAAACAATTTACACGACGCTTCGTACAAGAGTCTTCATGATATGACTTTCAGACACGATGGTTTGTAAAAACCTTCGAAGTTATTCTTAAAGCCACAACCCCTACCACGACTGTCCGTTTTTTGGGGGGAGGGGGGAATTGTAATTTACACAACGGACCTACTCGATACAGGTGTACTGATCATAATATGTAATTCAAATATTTGGTACGTAGATAAGCTGTTAATCCTCCCAAAGGCTAGCAAATACACCCAACTGCTTGGATTACCGCTTACCGTCGCTCCGAAGTTGTACCTCTCGTCTACGTCAATGTTTCCTATTCAATGCGCACACAAATGAGGCATCAATAATGCAAAATAGCATTGAATCGAAACATAAAATGTCACTTAGTAATGGCCAATTGTTAATGGGCACATACCGTGACTGTTGCCTCCCCTGATAACATACAGCACACATTTTGTTAAGTTATATCCTTTAGACGCATTACTTGTTTGTTTTGTCCCGAACTGTTTACCGTATTATGTTTTCATTCCTTACACGGAAGTGCTCATTGTTAAGCGTTCACAGCCACGGTTGTTCAAATTGTATGGCACACTTAGGGTTTTTCCACCAGATGTTGCCAATTTTACAAGGTCGTTTCAATTGATTACCTCTGCAGATGCACACAATAGTGGCTCGCACAAACGATTCCACATGTTTCCAAGCCAGGCACGTGAACTTTTGGTAGAAACTGACCGGAGTCTGAAACTAAGTAGGGTGATTATGGATTAAAGCAAAAGCGAAGAGTTGATTTCGGAGTGACAACCTAGAACCAGAGGCAAACAAGTCATTTCCGCTGCGCTTTTTACGAGTTTAGAGTCACAAAATGCAGCCCCTGGGACCCTGGGCTAAGATATATCACTGTTAATAGGTTCACTGAAGACAGGTTGACTTTTCAGGTGTTGGAAATACCCATCTGCAAGACAAACTAAAGGTATATGTGCATATATATATATATATATATGTATGTATATATAATTCCTCATACACGTCTTGTAAGGAGTCACAGCGCACTCAGCATTGGTTGCTCTTTATGTTTTCTAGATCGATCTGATGTTATCTTTCACTTGCTGCTGATGCTCTAAACACCGACACCAAGCCTCGTAATAAAAAAGGTACATTTTGTCGTAGTGCATAACCTGGTGTGATGAATTCCTATATAAACATGTATATATATATATATATATATATATATATATATATATATATATATAGATAGATAGATAGATAGATAGATAGATAGATAGATAGATAGATAAATAGATAGATAGATAGATAGATAGATAGATAGATACAACTATTTCAGGCCATGCTGTATAACAATCTGTACCTTTTTTAAGAGAGCTAGAGGCACCAAATTTGCAGGTTGTATTGTTCTGTACGTGGACTCACTGAAGTCAAGATTTAAGGTTCCTAGGCTGTGACCTTCGGGTCCAAGAAGGTCAAACAAGGTCAAACTCCAGACTGATTTTCAAAGTGCTATCAGAACCTAGATAACCGTTTCTGAGCAAAAGGCCACATATTTATTTAAGGTCAGAGACCCTGTTTGACCTTTTTAAGGTCATGGTGACCAAAATAATACAAGACTCCACGGAGTTTTGCATTTGAATAAGCAAAAAAGATTACGCTAGGCAGTATGTTCCTAAAAACAAAATGTTGACTTGGGTCATTTTAGGTCGGCGAACTATTGTGGCCATAAAAGGATCCATGGAAGATGCGGCTCCTGTTATCAATCAATTCGAAATGAATACCAAAACTGCCCGTAATAGCAAGCCCCAGACTAATAAAGCAGGTCGGTTTTGACCTTGGTCAGACCTTCATACCTGACCCCACGTCAGTGGAATTTGTTCATTCAATTGTTTTGCTGCCTAATAAAGTATCTCAGAGATGTATGGCTTCGTGTAACACTCCGTTTTTGCATCAGGTTGAACGATGTCCTAGAAATTGACTTCGCTGAATCCATGGCCTGACTTTGGCCTGCCGTTAGGTCAGCAACCTTACAAGGTAAATACATTTTTCAAAGCATACGATCCGCTATTCGATTGTCTCCAGCTATGCAAAATTTTGCTTGGCTGCACCGCGCCGTTTCGGAAGCCATTACGGAAAGCCCTTCGGGGGCCAGTTTGACCCCTATCCCGAGTGTGTGTTAACACACGCCCGGGTGGCCGGCCGGATACCCTTCGCTCGGGTAGGAGTGAATTTGACACCCTGAGATCTGGGGAACTAAGAGAGCTAGAGACACCAAATTTACAGGGTATGTTGATTTGTGTGTGAACTCACTTGGATCAACGTTTCAGGTTCCTTAGTAATGACCTTCAAAATTTTCAAATTTTCATTAGTCAGATTCCAGATTCCGTCAAATTCAAGTCAAATTCATATTCAATTTGACTTGACAACAAGATTCCGTCAAATTCAATGGTCAAATTCAGGTCAAATTCCAGATTAGTCTCCAAAGTGCCCCCAGAACCCAGATAACCATTTCTAAGCAAAAGTTCCCCCGCTCATTTAAGGTCAGTGACCTTGTTTGACCTTTTGGAGATCATGGTGACCAGATCATACGAGAATGCTCTGAGTTTTGCATTCGAATAAGCGACAAAGATTACGCAAGACGGTATTTTCCTAAAACCAAAATGTTGCACTGGGCCATTTTAGGTATATGACCTATTTTGGCCTTTAAAAAGTCCATGGAAGTTTTATAATGCAGTTTCTGCTATCAATATATTCGAAATGAGCGCCAGAAGCTATCCACACAGCAAGCCCTAGAGTAATAAAACAGGGTGGTTTTGGATTTGGTCTGACCTTCACACCTGACCTAACGTCAATGTAATTTGATTATTCAAATGTTGTGTTGTCTAAGGAAGCATCTGAGAGATGATGGCTTCGTCTAACATTTCGTTGTTGCACCACATTGAACGATCCCCTAGAAACTGACTTCGCTGAAACCATGGTCTGACTTTGACCTGCCATAGGTCAGCGATCTTACAAGGTGTATCTAAATTTTTGATATCAAACAATCCGCTATTTACATTTACAAACAATCCGCGATATTGCAAGGTATATCTAAATTTTTGATATCAAACAATCCGCTATTTACATTTACAAACAATCCGCAATCTTGCAAGGTATATCTAAATTTTGTATATCAAGCAATCCGCTATTTAATTATCAACAACTATGCAAAATTTGGCGCGGCTACGCTGCGCCGTTGGGAAACCATTCTGGAAAAACCTTCGGGGAGTCCAATTGGCCCCCTCACCCGAGCACGCGTTACAGATGCCGTCAGATCGATCGAGAAAACATTGTAAAAAATCATTAGTGCCGAGTCCGCTGTGATTTTTATCAAAGGACGGACACACACACACACACACACACACACACACACACACACACACACACACACACACACACACACACACAAACACGTATATATATAGTAATAGTTATAGTTATGTGTATGCACACGCACAATACCTTAGCCTATTTTCATATAGATAAAAATACGGCTAAGTCGTAATGCCTTTGAAAAGTTTAGGAACCTTTTGGTGTCGGCGTTGATGAGGCAGACAGACCTCTCATTTCAAACTTCTAGCTTATGAATGGCATCATATGGCCAGAGTCAGACCTGCACAAAGCTGGAATGCTCCGTCCGGATGTCTGCCGTGCTTCCTCGGTGTGTGGTCCTTCACACTCAGCCACACAGCACTGCGGTGTACGCGAGGGAAACTGTCGGTGATGCATGTGCCTGATTCTGTCCCCTGCTAACATCGCCAGCAGCATGTTAGCATGATGCCTTACGCGTGCCGCTGCGCCTGGTCGGCGTCGGGTGTCTCTTCAGCCTGCGTGTCTTCTGTTGGTATGTGTCCATGTCTCTTCTTTGTGTGGACAGTTTGGTGATAAATGCATACATGCCTGAATGAACAAACCAAACAGTTCACCGTCGAACAAACCGTTTGCCGTCGAGTTGACACCGTTCGGTTGTGCCTAAACCAGCCGACGAGAGAGCAGAACGGCGGAAGCGAGGAGGACTTTTTGAGAGATGGGGCCGGACCCGATGGTCAGACACCGACAGACACCGCAGCCGATCAGACACCCACAGAAGTGAGGAGCACAACACTCGACACTCGGCGAAGAGCCACAGCACAGTTAGAGAGCGCGTTTAAGCAGGTGTAGAGTAACACTCCGGAGCGCGGCGCTGATGCGACGACACGCGACACTGAACTCTGATATCAACTATCATGCCGAATGTTCACATGGCGTTACGTACGCTTACGCCTTCGAGTGCCGGGGGAGACACCGCCGATCTTTTCCAAGTGAGCAAGCAGATCTCGGGGGGGGGGGGGGGAGTTCCTATCTCATCACGTCTATAACAATTTTTTCGTAATTTGTTGCGCTTTTTTCAATCAGATGGCAGTTATTGTCTAGAACGTGCCGTAATGACCCCCTTCCCATTTGTTGCAATGTTCTGTCTCGGTCACCTGAGATTTCCTGAAGTATCCAGACGTCCACAGCCCCTTACCGTACGTCCCCTAGGGGCACCGTCATGATGAGAACGCGCATGAACCTCTAACTCAACGGGAACACAACACATCGCGTCAGTAACGACTGAATCCATGCCGTCCACCGAGGTGCTGCTCGTGGATCATCTCACAGCACTGCCTGGTGCTCAACAATCTGCGCCGTCATGCCATCAAACGAGCCACGGCCTCTTCGCTGCTGGGCTGGTTCAGCGTCCCAACACCACCACAGACCTTCACACACCTCAGCACCTTCCAGCTGACACAAAAACCGGATGGGGTCTGTGCCATCCGCCTGGCCATTAGGTCTAGTACCCCATCCGGCACAGCACGACACAGGTAAACCGACTAGAGCTGCTAACACGTGCAGACCCCTGACGGTGACTGTCGGGGATACGGCTGGCCCCAGTCCCACCGCTGCTAACATGTCCAGACCCCTGACGGTGACTGTCGGGGATACGGCCGGCCCCAGTCCCACCGCTGCTAACATGTCCAGACCCCTGACGGTGACTATCGGGGATACGGCCGGCCCCAGTCCCACCGCTGCTAACACGTCCAGACCCCTGACGGTGACTGTCGGGGATACGGCCGGCCCCAGTCCCACCGCTGCTAACATGTCCAGACCCCTGACGGTGACTGTCGGGGATACGGCCGGTCCCAGTCCCACCAGTCACTTGTTGAATGGCTGTTCTGCTGACGTGGCTCAGTCTCGCCCAGAGTCAGGTACGGCAGGCCTGCCAAAGGGGCGGCTCCTCCGCGCTCAGCGTGGACTCCGTCGTTAACTGCCTGCTGTCCCAACAGAACGTCACCACGGCCTCACTCTGTCGCTCTCAGCTGTAGCCTGCCGCGGTTCAAGCCGTGACCGCCCGCGGCAGCAGTTAACCCCCAGGAGCAGGCGTCGATCGGGTCCGGGTCCGGGTCGGATCCAAGCCCGGGCCCAGGTCCGGGTCCAGGTCCGGATTCGGGTCCGGGCCCGGCTCCGGGGCTGAGTCCGGAGCGGGGCCGGGACCGGGGCCGGGTCGGGGCGGAGGCCGGGTCCGGACCCTGAGCCGGGATGGAGTCCAAGTCCGAGTCCGGGTTAGGGTCCGGGTCCGGGTCTGGGTCTGGGTCTGGGTCTGGGTCTGGGTCCGGGTCCGGGTCCGGGTCCGATTCCGGTTCCCCACCCGGGCTGGGGCCTGGTCCGGGGCCGGGTTGGGGCCTGGGCTAGGGCCGGGGCCGGGGCCGGGGCCGGGGCCGGGGCCGGGGCCGGGGCCGGGTCACGCCGGGACGCGCCGGACCGGTGTGACACCCCGGAGCTGACGAGCAGCTTATCACGCGAGGCGTCCAGCCGTCGACAGCCGGTCCCGCCCCGTCGCCGACCGCCGACAGCGCATCTGATACGGCGCCCCCGTTCAATTAGCGCCCTATGGTGTGGCAGATTAGCCGCGGCGTAATTGGCGGCCGCGCCGCTCTTGCCGCCGCGGTAATTGGCTAAGCGGGACGGGCCCGGTCCGGTCCGGCTGGTCTGGCCGGCCGGCGGGTGGGCCGCGCGGACTTGGGCGCCCCTGGCCGCACCGATCGGCCATCGCGGGGGAGACGTCACCACAGAGAGTTGGAGCGGTGTCGCCACTTAAGGAGCGACGGTGCTACTTACGGAGCAACGGCGCCATGTAAGGAGCAACAACGCTACTTACCGAGCGACGGCGCGCTGATGGGAAACGGGCTTCGGCTTGAAAAAAACTCAGTGCTGGGCAAATATTTTTTATTGCCGGCAGGCGAGAAAATGCATGTGATAGTGCAACTAGAGTCAAGCATGACTTAGCGTATTTTCCCTACACTTTGGATAAGAAATACGCGCAATATTTGCCTGGTAGTTTGCGGTATAGATCGCCAATGGTAATCGGATTTAGGTAAGCATGGGACGATGGGCCTACCTGCTCCCTTCTTAAGATGGATATGTTGAGAATGCGTTTCCTGGGACGTCACCGAAATCGGTTCAGACGTCCCGGTGAAAAGTTATTCTTAAACTGCCGTTGATTTTGTTGCTTTTAAAGGTTGTTTAAAAAACGTTGCCGTTCTGGTCGTTTTTCAACACATCTTAATTGAATTCAGTAATGTCCGAGGAGACGAGTGCTGAGCATATCAATGATATTAAAGGGCTTTAGGGAGCAAGACCTTTAACATCACATGTCGGTTGGGCGGAAAAATCCAAACGTACAGGCGTGAAGCTGTCTGAACACACCAAGCACATTGCTATTTCTTGCACACATCCGTGTGACTGAGCCATATAACTGCACCGGATAGTTCTGATGGAGAGAAAACATCGTATGCTATTTCCCCTAACCACTCTTACATAGATTCATCTTATAGGGTTTCCCCTTGGCTTGGCGGGGAACAAAAATGAATGCACGCGGATTGTGTCAGCCTGCTGACGGTCCTAGGCCGAGTTTCCTCAAGCTGTCCAAGATACGGGGAAACAATCCAAGCGCTACGAAAGATCTTACAAATTTAACGAGTTCCGAAAATGTTATCGCCGGAACCCGTCGAACGGCGGCTTACGCCCGAGAATGGACGAGTCAACTGCGACATTATCCTCCCGCCCCCTCGCTGAGAGCAGTGACGAGGGATCAATACAAGGAGCGATGGGGACATCGTGCCCCTTCCTCCTGCGTCTGGTAAGCCATAGCGCGTGGTGCGAGCCGAGTACGTGGGTGGGACGTCGAGAGATGAGCATACCTTAAGGTGCACGTGACCGAGATGCCCAGCGCATGACTTTTTCGGCTGTCCATTCAGCACTTCACGAGTTTATCAGACGCGTTGATGAGACCTTGCGTGCAGTTTTCATGATGCCCGGTGGCCGTGCCAGAGCAGCGGGCGTCACGTGAGTACGCACCTGCTCTCGTTCGTTTGCCGGCCGCACCGTGCCCGTTCTTGCGCACACCACCGAACGCGTCCCGTGCGGCGGCACGGCCCCCAGCCGGGCCGGCGAGCCAGGGCGGCCGCCAGCAGGTTGTGCCGGCCCGGTCCGCGTGCTTACCGAACAGGCGCCCCGCCGGACTGCACTCACCTGGCGGCTGCTTGTTGGACTGGGCCTTGATGCACATGTCGTTGTCGGCCGGGAACTTGGTGCAGCGCACTATGTCCGGCCAGGGGAAGCCGTACTCGGCCATGCGCGCACCGCAGCTGCTCTCCACCTTCTGGCAGAGGCTGCGGCACGGGTAGATGGGCCGCTCCAGGCAGATGGGCGCGTACAGCGAGCACAGGAAGAGCTGCGCGTCAGGATCGCAGCGCACGTTGAGCAGCGGCACCCAGGAGGCTGCCTGCTGCGAGACCTCGGAAAGGCTGTCGTGCTCCAGCAGGTTGGGCAGCGTCATGCGCATGTAGCCGATGTCGCGGCACAAGGTCATGTTGTGCGGGATGTCAATGCAGACCGGCTGCGAGCCGCGTCCGGTCACCGTGTCCCACTCGAAGGCGCGCGCCGCGCCCAGCAGCACGACTAGCGTCGCCCAGGCTGCGGTCATGGCGGCGGCGTGCGCGAGCGACCACCGCCGAGGCGCCGGTCGGCTCCGACTGGCCACCGCCGCTGCCGCCGCCGCCGCCGCCGCCGCCTGTCTCTCCCCGGTCACGTGACAGGCCGGCGCCGGCAGCCAATGGCCAGCTACGGGCGCCCGCCGGCCGGCCGGCCCCGCCGAAAGGCTCATTACAGGCTAATGATGATAGGCGGCCGATGAGTATCTTGACAGCCGGGACAGGGCTCTGCGCCGGCTGATGACGAGTGGGAGGTGTCGGGGTGCGGGGGCGGCAGCACGAGGGGCCGGCAGCCGGCGGTGGCGCGCGCCGCCGCCCCCAGCGGCGCAGGGGAGCCGCCGCTCGAGCAGCCGTGGGAGCGCTCCCAAGACGCGCCGCTGACGGCATGAGGTCATGCGCTAAAGGAAGCAGGCGCCGTCATAGCGCTGGGCTGAAAGGATGCCGCAGTGTGTGTTATCTCAAGCACATGACCTCGCTTAAGAGTCCTGGGAGCTATAGATCCATCCAGTCTAGGCTGATGAAATTAGACATTGGCCGGAGGGATCCAAACGCTCGCGTGTCAGGCGGTGTGCCAGTTCCGAGTTCAACCGCGCGTAACCCTCCCCTGCATCTAGTACGCGCACATGCATGTGTGTTCGAAAAGGCCGCGTATCCTGCACAATTCGGAAACACTGCGCAACTTGCCAGCTTCGGCTCTGCGCCTGCCTTACGCGCATTTTGATTCCTCAGCGGGTACATACCAGAAGATTTGATCCACCAGAAGACTGACCTCCAACTCAGAAGAGCTGCGGCCGCATCGAATGATCTTTTGATCGGTGACTTCCTGACCGGAATTGCATAGTTTGAGACCGGAATGGCTCAACTTAGCAAACCTACATTTATGTGTTGCTCTACATGCAAACATGTTGCGTCATGCTTGTGTACAATAAATCACTGTGACCATGCCTAACGCGCCCAGCCTATTAAATGCTTCCGCACTGAAATAAGCCTACACGGCTTCGTCAGCAGCGACGTAAGACCGGTAATCCTGCGGCATGTCCGAGTTACCGTGGCCAGCGTCCTGATCCCGCGCTCCGGACGCGTTCTGCTGGGCTGCCGTGGTACGGCGGATCTGGATCGGGTGCCGTGTCGGGGGACTCCGGCCGCGTTCTGCTGAGCTGCCACGGTACGGCGGCTCTGGATCGGGTGCTGTGTCGGGGGGGGGGGGGGAGGTTCCGGCCGCGTTCTGCTGAGCTGCCACGGTACGGCGGCTCTGGATCGGGTGCTGTGTCGGGGGGCTCCGGCCGCGTCCTGCTGGGCTGCCACGGTACGGCTGTTCTGGATCGGGTGCTGTGTCGGGGGGCTCCGGACGCGTCCTGCTGGGCTGCCACGGAACGGCGGCTCTGGATCGGGTGCTGTGTCGGGGGGCTCTGTCTGTGTTCTGCTGGGCTGCTACGGTACGGCGGCTCTGGATCGGATGCTGTGTCGGGGGCATGGTGCCTCGGCATTGCGTCAGGATGGACTGTGACTCGGCTATTGTGTCCGGTGTTCCATGCCCGGACATTGCGTCACGGCGGGTCGAGCTCGAGCGGCTTACTTGATATGACCAAGAAAGGCCTTCAGCTTCTGCTTTTCCAACAGTGCTAGTTATTATGCCTAAAAAGCCAACCTTCATTACACTGGGAACTATGAACTGGTGAAGCGACGAAACCCAAGAACCAGTTGTATAGATCATGAGAAATCTCTCCGTTTCAAGGTTATCTACCAGTAAGCGGAAGGTCGATTATTTTCAACACAGTGTTTCCCGATGTTGAGTTTATGTCCCGGTGGGCTACACCCTCGTGCCATGTCGGCCTGTGATCCCATGTAAGCAGCAGTTTGCGTGATGCCGCACGGTGTCAGGCGGGCTTTGCTGGGGTGCTGTGTCCCCGCAGACCGGGATCGAGCGTCGTCTGTCAGTGGGCGGCTCCTGCTCGGGCACTGGTCCCAGTGGACCACGCCTAAGTTCTGTGTCGCGCTGGGCGGTGCTCGGGCGGAGTGCCGTGATGGCCACGCCCCAGCATTGCATGTCTGGGGACCGTTAGGCTCAGATCAGGTATCGCGGAGGCCCGGGGCGGGTTATTGTGCCGCTACGGGCCATGCTCAAGCCTCGCGTTACGCTGGAAAACGTTCGAGTTTTGAGTCATGTCTGACCAAATTTGAGTGTAATGTCACCATGTACCGTTCTGGGGTGGTTTGCTCCCGATCCAAACCAGAAGAACACCTCGTGCGGCGCGGAACGAGCGAGGCGCAACAGACACGACAGCTGTCAGTCGGTGTCATGTCAATTGTGCCAAAGGTCGAGTTATTCATACATGGATGCTGTATTCCTCGGATGTTGTGTCAGTAACACACGCACAACATGAAACATCGACGATTGACGATGCATCCAATGTTTCCGCTGTAACGTCGTTTAACCAGCGCCTTTAGAAGGTCAGTCAGTAGCATAGCATAAGATCACTGAACTCATAATACTGAAGAAAACAGGAGCTGAAGGCCTCCCTTGCTTGCATTAAATGCGAAATCAGTGGGGCCGGTTAGCCATTAATGTCATTTCAGCAGCTGATACCAATCGGTTTGGCCAACGCAGTGTGAAGTCTACCGCTCATGAGAATGGCAAGAGTTCCATTGATGTGAAGCGGCCACACTAATGCACGAAAAGCATTACATGAAAAACGCCCGGCCTGGAGTTTGTCAATGGTTCGCTTGTGGACGAAATAGATGCCTTTGTGATTGTTAACGTGATCACGTAATCACGTAAACAATGCGATCACGATCAGAATACTGCGAACGAAAGCTATTTTGGCTAAATGCTGGTCACCATAAACAGAACTAAGGATCAGTGTAATGAGCATGGCAACGCATCTTTCGCTTCAGGTCACAGGTTCATGTGTTCGAGATCGGCTTTGAAAAATATTTACCATTGTGCTTCCTGGCCGATTAAAGGCGCACTGAAGTGGAGGACGGCTTCGAGCTCCGCTGGTGAGATGCAGTTCGTAAATTTTGTCGAACACCGCACTGTCGGTTTCGTGCCCTCACTTGCACTGACTGTTAAGGTTTATATCACCCCTTAAAAAACCACCAGACGTAGAAACCCACCGCTTACTACGGGGACGCCTGTTCGTCTGCCCACATCGACCCTCACTGTTCCCATTTCATGATCGCTCATTTTCTCCCCCGTCAGAATCCGTTGACGTTATATCGCCGCGATGCTGGGTTGTAGAGGTCCGATTATGACCGATGCTCTTCAGCTTTTTTGCAACTCTGGCATTTTAAATTGTCCATGTTAATCAAACGGGGATGGGAAGTCGTGGTGAGGTCGCAATGTTGCAGGAAAAGCCCATCTGATCAAGAAGCTTGCATGTCAAAGCAAAGTGCTTTGTACAGCACAACCTTTATAGAACTGTGCCTTATGTTGCAGAAACCTGCATGAACTTGCAGCTAGCGGCTGTAGGGCGTTGAGAAAGGGTGGCGACAGGGCCACGCCGCTCCAGCTGAACATTGTATCGTAGTTCACGTCAGCTTTGCTCGGCCTGCGTCACCGCCTTGTGATGAAATATCCAGCTGTATGTGAGGGTCATGTTGTCGGAAAATGGTAACGGGCTAAATGCATACCCAAACCTCGGCAGCGAAGATCAGAGCACCGTGCAGCGCTCAGCTATAAACTACATGATTCGAGAGACGGGCTCAGTCTTACGACACGCTGCCGAGCGTTACGGGTTCGTGACGCCGCGTGCTCGTGACGTGCGCCCACGGGTAATCGTACCGGCATGTATGTTGTCCATCTCAGGAACCTGGCCCGGTTCTGCCAGTTCAGGCGAGTGCCCTGTTCGCGGTTCCATGCCGAACTCGCTGTGCTCATCTCGACATCCGCATTATTCCGTTAGCAGGATGGAATTTGCACTTCATCGCGCCGACAAGAGCCCGGATGCTAATTTGCGAATGCCACGCTGGCGAAGAAAGGCCGCGACTTTGTCAGCGTGACAAGTGACACGCCGACACACGGAATACACTCGCCGTATCAGCACGATGACAGCATACCTGTCCGGCACATGAGTCCATTCCAAAGAGTGCAAATTCTAGTAGCTGAGGCAAATGTCGAACGATGACATCACGGGCGAGGATTTGCAAACCACAACAGTACGTGCCGCTGGTATTTCAGCTGCCGTGTGCTGCAAAGCGGGAGCTTTACGCAGAACTCCTTGGAATCTGAGCGGTGAGGCAAGTGGCTTTGCCGTGTTCTACGCTGGACGTGACACACTGTCTCGCGAGATGTGATTCAGTGCACACCGCAGATGGTGCGGACGTGCTAAACAGCGCGGGGAGGACTGATCAAAAAGTGAGCAGATTCCAGCTTCGATAAAACTTTAGATGTATGGTGCGACATCTGTTTAAGAAAGGTGTCATCTCTTAGCCTCAGATCTGGCCATATCAAGTGCGAGTGCGCCTGTAGATCAAACTGATTATTTTCTTAACGTAAGTCACGTTTTTACCGAATTGATCCGAGCTCAGCTGAGCTTTGCGAAGCTCAGAGATCCCTTTAAAACAATTTTTGCGGAATTATTTCAGTGGTCTCCTCACTTTTTGAGATTTTAAAACTACCAACATGCAACCATCCACACACACACACGCACGCAAGCACGCACGCACGCATGTACGCACGCACGCACACACACACACCACACACACACACACACACACACACACACACACATATATATATATATATATATATATATATATATATATATATAGCATCGTGTGACTATCCACGAGTTCAGAGAACTGACGATGGTAACGCTCGAATTGGGCTCATGCTGTTTGCAGCTCTGACTCGTGCTTTTGTGGTTGAAACTGGGTTCAAACAATTTACTTGCCTTGTGTTTTGGGTGACCCAGGCGCTCCTTCAAGGAACCTATTTAGATACTTTTGCTATAGAGCTTGTGCTGAGTTACGCATTTTCCTCACGCCGCGGTACGGATGCGAGATGAAACGTCTGTAAATCTTAA